TCAGTTTCTCAGCACTTCAGCTTTTCAATTGTTAAAATGAGGTTTAAATAGTCTTTCTTCACATCCCTTGAAGAAATGGTGGGAATTATGGAGATGATTTTAGTAAAGTGGTTTAACTTGTTGAAAACTGGTACATTTACACTGATTATTCATGCCAAGGTCAAGCAATGTCTCTGTACTCTCAGACCACTGCCAGTGTGTTTAAATAAAAAAGGACAAACAACTGTATTTCTTCTGTTCCAAACTAGCTCAGGATACCCATTTTAATGTCAACTGGTCACCTACTCAACAGCATTGCCACATTTGTGTACGCTTCACAGAGGCACAAGATGTTTGTTACAGAATTAATTTCAAGTTGATGAATTGAGTTAAACATACCCTTAGATTTCTGACCCAAGATCACACCACTTCCTGAAGTTCCTTATCTGTGAATATAATCATCACCTCAATTATCGGAAGTACCCTAGCTAGTAAAACAAAATGTGATTGTAAGCAAGTAACGCTGTCAAGCAGTGTTCACTTAAATTTCTGACTGAAATCTTCTCCCTAAACTGAAAGATCAGATTACCTTATCGGTTTCCTATGGTCAAATTTACACATAAAATAATACAGATATCTGACCAGTTTTTCCCCACTTTATAAGGGGACACCTCTAAACTTCTATGAAATACAAATAAAACTGATCTAAAAGTAAAACAAATAACTGATATAAAGTTACTTATGATACATATTGTACAGATTTAATTAAACTCTACATGGTGCTACCCAGTAAGGCAGTTGCCAACCCGATACTGCAATAGGACACTTGAAATATAGCCCGCCTGAATGCAGTATGCTGCAAGCATAAAGTACATACCAGGTTTCAAAGACTTAGTATAAAAATGTAAAATATCTCATTAATAATTTTATAATGGGGCTCCTGGGTGGCTCAGTTAAGTGTCTGCCTTCGGCTCAGGTCATGATCCCAGGGTCCTGGGATCGAGTACCACGTTGGGCTCCCTGCTCTGCAGGGAGCCTGCTTCTCCCTCTCTTCCCTGTTCTTGCTCTCTCTCTCAAATAAATAAATAAAATATTTTTTTAAAAATTTATATTAATTCTATATATAATAACATTTGCATATATAGAATTAAATAAAATATATTATTACATCAATTTCACTGGTTTATTTTTAGTTTTTAATGTTGCTACTAGAAAATTTTAAATTACATATGTGATTTGCATTATATTTATACTGGACAATTCTGGTATAGCTGTCAAAAAAAAAGGTGGGGGGAATCCACTGAGTAATCTTCTCTAAATAGTGGAAAGAAAAGTTCTCAATCTAGGCAGAGAATTTAAAAACTGATACATGTACAAGATTTATGACAAATACTAAAGATGATAAGAAGACAAAGAATAGGAAACAGCTTCTGATCATTACATTTTAGCATGAAATATAATGAGTGTCAAATCATGTTCACTCTGATTTAAAGAAAGAACATCTACATTGGGAAATCATGTCAGATAAACAAAAATGCATGTAAAAAGTATAATGACCATATGTTATTATAAGCACATGTAACCACAAACTGGAATATCAACTTGTCTAACAATCCACATAGTAACTAATATTATTGCATTATAAAATTAAAAAATCTGGATTTTATGGCATTTACATATCATTGTTATTAGAGACCAATGTGCCTTTCAAATTTCATAAATTATATTACTTAGTGAAAGGGTTATCAAAAATTATTTAATCATGATTTTAATTTTGCTTTTTACATGTCATTCTCAAACATAATTTTGCTAACATTGAAAAGCCTAATCAGCACACACGGATTATACAGAATTATGCACTGAAATTTCTTACATTAAAATATGGACCGGGGCGCCTGGGTGGCTCAGTTGGTTAAGTGACTGCCTTCGGCTCAGGTCATGATCCTGGAGTCCGGCATCAGGCTCCCTGCTCAGCGGGGAGTCTGCTTCTCCCTCTGACCCTCCCCCCTCTCATGTGCTCTCTCTCTCTCAGTCTCTCTCTCTCAAATAAATAAATAAAATCTTTTAAAAAATAAATAAATAAAATAAAAATAAAATATGGACCTATATTCTAGATTAAAGAAAGAGCATTTTATCCCAACATTAAAAAATTATTAAACCAGTCCTGAAATTACAATGCATTCCCCTCAATTATTCTGCTAATCATATAATTTGTTTCCGAGGAATATTTAAAGTTCCCCCTAACAATCCTTCCCCTCCCACCTTCATTCCCTTTTGCTGTCAGACAGTCTTAAATTCCTCAGATGGCTTTTGAACATGCTGTTAATGATGGTATATTGAAGTGAAACTTAAAAATAAATAACATAGGATGCACAATCACCCATCTTCCCCCTAAATAGGTGAAGATCTAATGACAAGAGTTTATAAAATCTCAGCACCTAAATATTTTCTTTCCAGCTAAATTCATGTCTCAAAGGCAAAACATTGTATATTGAAAAAAAAAAATCCCAATCTAATGACCCAAACCCTTCACTTCTTTTAACTACATTTCATAATTCCCCCTATCTTTCTATTTCTACTCTCTCTCTTGCTCTTGTTCTCAGTCTTGCTCTTATTCTCATAATCTAAGACAGCTCTTTTCTACAATTCATTGGCCCTTTCAATAGCTATCAGGATTCTTTCAAAATCTGTAATACTCATTTCTCTCTACCTAACTTCCTGTTACATTAAGACTTGCTACCTAGGAATGCTTCCTCCACCTCTCTGGGTAATAGAAAATGTTAGGTAGTGACATACTTGTGTTAAAAGGTTTCTTAAGTAGTCCTTCCACTCTTCTTAATTACCACATTATCAACTACCAAAGAATCAGAGTAAGACCACTGCCCAGGTTGAAGGCTTTTATTTAATTGCCACAATTTACAATTATAATGTTATGGAAATATAGCATATTAGTCATGACTGAATTGTTGGAAGCATACTGCTAGGGTTCACATTCTGGCTCCACCATTTGTCAGTTGTGTGACCTTAGGTACCTTACTTCTTTGCCTTGATTTCTCTATGTGTAACATGGTATTAATATTGTACCTATTTCTTATTGTGAAAATTACAAAAGGAACAACATGAAAAATGCTTGGAGAAAGACTGACACATTAAAAACATTCAATAAATCACATCCTGGATAGGAATGTTCAAAACTCCAATATCAAAAAAGAAAAAATAATAATTAAATTCCAAGATAATTCTGATCTCCAAAACTATGCAAGATTTTTGTGACTCAGAAGTACACTGGTGACAGAAGGAGAGTCATAAAATCTCACTTTTCAAAGCAGGACAATAAAATGTCTACAATGTTTGCAAATTTAGGATTAAAGGTCATGGATGCAAATGAAATCTGACTTTACATCCTTCATTTCATAGTGTTCAGATCAAAACCATTTCCCCAATTTCCCAAAATTACTAGGGAAAGGCTACCACTTTTGCCCACTCTCAATTAAAATTTAAAACAGGGTATATGATATAGGGCATAAAGTCCTACTTTACTCAGATTGGCATTATTTCTTTTTCTATTTATTCTGAGATGCAAAACTCATTTTCTCAGTGAATAAAGTTTAATGGAGCATAATTACTATGGGAATGCTTTCTCCTATGAGAAAACATGTTTTTTACTTAGATTTCTCAAGAATGTAGAATTCTTGTAAAGGAAACCTATATAAATAATTAAATAAAGAATCTGACAGAAATATAAAGATCTGTGGTATTAAATGGATTGTCTTTAACAGTAACTTCAAATGGTGTTAGGAAACTTTAGCACAGTCATGCTTGGGATATCACATGAAGACAGAAATCAATTATTTGGTGAGAGCTGAAGTGTGGGATAGTATCTTCACCTCTTTCTCCATCCTCCCTTATCACTCCATGAAAAGGTGAAAATCCTAATGGGGCCAAATTCTAGGGCACAAATTAGACCATGTGTGCAAATGAATGCAGGTCAAATGTCCTCTCCATGCTTGTGTGTGGCTCTCCAATTAGCCATTTTCCTATCTATGTAGCAGAAGGGATGTCCCCTGGACAGCCCAGGCGTCTCAACTGAACTTGTTCCTATATTACCAGGAGTACTCATGTATCCAGATACCCTCAACCCTTCGGGCTAGGCTGCTGGCTTATATAAAATGCAGTGAGAAAGGCCTTGCTTAGATCGACTTTCAACCTTACACTTCAACTCCATTTTTCAGAGAACTTTGGGTTGGAGTGTAGGGCATTAGCCAAGCAAAATTAAGTGTCCTTTGCTCTTCCACTTGTCATTCTCCCCTGACATCTGTATATTCTGTCCCTTCAGGAATGACCTACTGAGGCAGCTCTATTGGGTAAGGTGAGATGTGAGCATGTCTGTATTCCGTGCTTCACAGCATTTAAAAACACCTCAAAACAGTAGAAATGGTGGAAAAATAAAAAAGAAAGAGAAAAAGTAGTGAGTCCCCTCTCTTTTAGGATTTAACATCTACTGTGACATGCAGAGGGAAACCATGATTTTGGAGCTCTAAACATCTGTTTGTATTGGCAATCACCAGACATAATTCTAGAGTTTTGTTTTGTTTTTCGTTTGTGAGGTATGTGTCTTTTTGGGGGGGGGAGAAGGGTACTCAGGTACCCATTCAGGTTCCCATGAATGACATGGATAGAAAGGTTATAGGAATCTTCGGAGAGATTGTGAGACCCAGACATTTGAGAATCAGTACTATGAAGGTATAATACAAGACATCTGTAAGGTGTACAATGAAAAATCATCAAGTCCTAGTTGAAAATCTTTACTACATTACTAGAAATGAGGAAGACCTCTATTTTATTCTTCAGGTTGAAAAATTACACAAGTTTTTAAAATTTCATGTAAGTGCCTCAGTAACATTTGGGAAAATAAGACCAAATCTGCAATCTGAAGATTAAAATTTAAAAATGTGTTCATTTCAGTATACTTCTTAAAGTGTATTAAGTTTCAAGAGCAAGAATAAAAGACATTGTCTTACCTCCCATCTCGATCCCAGTCATACACCTCTACTTTGATTGTTCTGTCCATGGGGAAAACATAAAGTTGCTTAGTAAGATGAAAAAACATCACTGAGAATTAAAAAATAAGTTATAGATTTTCTTAAGATGAAATGTATGCTTGTAGGCTTTTAAAAAATAGTCTGAAGCTGATTTTGCTAATTTTATTACTATATTTTCATTTATATCTTAAAATAGGTTTTTCAAATCTTATTCTTTAAGGGGAGTAAGGGAAAGTATATGTGGGAAGCATGTGTAATTTGACATAGCTCCTCAATGAGAAGGTACGCAGCTACTTCTCTAGAAAACCACTATGTTAGAGCAGGATTTCTCAATCTCAGCATGGACCACAATCACCCGGAGGGCTTCTCAAAACTTGAATTGTTAGACTTCATGCCCAGAGTTCCTGGTTCAGTGGGTTTCAGTTGGGGCCTGAGAACTTGAATTTCTACAAAGTTAACCAGGTGATGTTAATCACAAACCACATTACAGGAACCACTTTCTTAAAGAATGAGTTTAGTTGAATAAAGTTATGATCTTTTCAAATGAATAAAATGACAGTCAACTTAAGTTTTAAAGTAAATTTAATGGCATGCTGCTAATCAATAGTTCCTTCTATGATATTAGTTAATAGAATAAATTTGCATTTTTCTAATATTCAAGTAACAATATAAAGAGATTGGATTTTTACTTTCTATTTATTTGCTTTTCTTTTGGGGTAAGGGTTTTTATATTATAACTTTATAATCAACTCTCATATGAAAAAAGAAAAAAAAAACTTTGATATTAAGAAATCTTTAGGTATATTGTGGGAGTATCTTCATGGCCACCTTACCCACCTATTTGTAAAATACCAGAATCTCCCTGTTCTACATCTACAGCACTTCTAGAATTCAACAACCATGAGAACAGTGATGCCAAATAACATTTTCAAGAGTTCATCAAAGTTGATAATATACCTAGTCATAGCCTTGTATCTTGTATATTTACTTATTCCACTCTAGAAAGATAATACCAAATGAAAGCATTGAGGCTATGAAAATTCTAGAGTAATTTTTGAATAATATGTTAAAACAAACTAATATTTAATACATTTTTAGCACTTTGCATATTTTTGGTCTTGGAAACTCAAGTCAGTTTAACCGAACTTTAGTCAAATTATCCCTCTTCCCCAAATCATCATGGATTTTAAAAAAAGGTTATTTAAAAAATTCTGAATAAATCATCTATGCTTGGTAAATACACATTTACATAGGTAAAGAAGCCACCTTAATTTTTAAAAATTTGGCTTAGATTATTAGATAAAAAGTATATAGTAAATATTCAAAACTCTCAGAAAAGTTGTCATTTATTTTACCTGTCATAATCACCATTACATAATGCTCTGACTGAGATCTTGAATGCTTGCCATACAGGATTTAGAGTGTTTTTGACAACTTCTGTTTTATGACAAATTGTAAAACTGTAAAAACAAAAGAAGAGGTTTTCAGTTATTTTCATAATTTGATTATGATATATTGCTTTAGTAGGCATTCTTCTCTTTCTTTTTTGTATAGAACAAATGTTGTCAATCTCCCTGTGGCTGGTATATGACTTAGTAAAAAGAGACTTGTGGTTTTAGAACTTTAAAGATAAGCTCACTGCAATATAAAGCAATGAGATTTCACAATAAAACAAAAAAAAGATTATGAAAAATAATCTTTTGTAGATTCAATAAATTGTAAAGCTGCTTTGTAAATAATCCCTATAAAAATTGTGAGGACATATTGAAACAGTGAAAAATATCTATAGCTAAGAATATGAAGGTCATCAGTATCCCCCAAAATATTAGCTTGCTGTAGTGCTGGGGACAAAAACCTGGTTGGGATGGATTTAAGACAGAGAAGAGAAACAGAGACAGTGTGTAGAGAATATATTTGAGGAGTTTAGCTGTATAGAGAAATTGGGGGTAGTTTCAGGGAATAGATTAGTCTACAGAAAGGTTTGTGGCTTTTGTTCCTTTTCAATTTTTCTCTCTAGAAAGGAAAAAATAACAGCAAGGTTGTATGCTAAATGAAGGATCCAACAGATAGGAAACAATTTATGATGCATAAGGGAGGGGAGAAAGACTGGAGGAATGTCCTTCCATAGATGAAAGTGGATGGGATCCAGGGCATCAATGGAGGAGTTGGCCTTGGGACCACAGAGAGTCATTCTGCAGGAACTTTCAGGAAGGCAGAGTGCACAGGAGATGCTGTGATGAGATCATGAGAAAGTTCTCCAATTGCTTCGATTTTCTTATAAAATAGGAAGCGTGATCATCAGTAAAGAAGGAAGTGGGCAGAAGTGCTGAAGTGTCTGGGAGAGAGGGAAAGTTGGATTAAGCAAAAAAGTAGGATTCCTGGAGGGGCCCAAGGCCCTCACTTAAGATAAACATCATGAATTTATAGTGAGACACTCAGCTTATGGTTCTTTCTTTATCTAAACCGTTGGCTCTACAGATCTAATACACAATAAGAGGTAAAACCCATGTAGCGTTAAAGTTGGTTTCCTGATTCCAATTCCAGTATTGTTTCCACCAAACCATTCAATCTCCATACATGGATCAGGTCCTGGAAATGTTCTTGCCTAATGTAAACACATGCAGCAGTTCATGAGCTATAAAATGACCTTGGTCAGAATGAAACCCAAACTCAGTCCTCACTAAGACCCTAGTAATGAAGTGTTCCAAACACTGGGCCACCTGTAACAGTCAGGAACATGAGAAGATGACATGAGCACCATAGTGAACATGCTGCACCTAACCCCCGCCAGAAAATACTCTCATTTTGAAAAGCCTCTGAGTCCATTTTCCTCCTCTCAGGTAAGAAGAGTCTACTTCTATTAAGAGATCAAATAGAAACATAAAAGGATCAAGTATTCATTACAAGATGATGTCATTAGTACCGTCCCCCTCCTTGGTCGTATCCTCACCCAGTTAAACAAACTCCTGCTACTAAACTGACAGAGCTTAAGAGAGTGTATTGTGGTCAAAGGTTCTCAGAGTTGACTTGCCCAAAGCAATGTAGGGGCAAAAGCCATGAAAAGAAAAACTGAGGATAGACCAAGCAGACTCAAAAAGGGTCATTGAGGTATCTAAAACAGAAGAAAAACAAAGGAGATAAGGGAGGAGAGGCAGGGAACAAACAGAAGGAATCAAATGAGAAAAGACAGTACACAAAAATGGTTAAGAAAAATTCATGGGGACAAAATTACATATGTAGTTGACCCTTGGATAATGCAGGGGTTAGGGGCATGGAGCAGTAAAAAATCTGCACATAACTTCTGACTCCCCCCAAACTGAACTACTAATAGCCTACTGTGACTGGAAGCCTTACTAATAATATAAACAGTTGACTAACACATATTTTGTTTGTTATATGTATTATACACTGTATTCTCGCAATAAAGTAAGCTAGAGGAAAGAAAATGTTATTTTAAAAAATCTTAAAGAGAAAATACATTTACAGTACTGTATCAAAAAAAAAAAAAAATCCACATGTAAGTGGACCTGTGGAGTTTAAACCCATTTTGTACAAGGGTCAACTGTACTGTTTTTGTTTTAGAAACAGGCTTCTGCCTCTCTTCATAATACAATACATTCTTAAAGATCTACAAAGGGGCTTTCTCTTCTTCTTTTGAATCACATTCTTATATATATTAAGCCTTTGGTATGGTGGCAGATACAGATAGATAGCTAGATAGATGGTATCTAGATCCATGGATCCATAGGTAGTTACATAGATAGATAATGGAGCAACCAACAGACCATCTTCAAACGAACATGTTCAACAAACATTCTATTGACTTTTTGGCTTTTTTGTTTATGGTTAAATAAAAACTTCTATTATATTTCTAGTATCACCAGCCATAATAATTAAATACGTTGACACTTTCTTAAGTGGTTCACCTTAGTGAGCTATTTATTTATTGTTGCATAAATATAACTGCATATATATTATAAATAGTATTATAAGATAAATATTTTTATTAAACAGCCTTATTAAAATACTTTAAATGAAGCCTTATTAAAATGCTTTAAATGAAGTCATTTGCCAAAAAAAAAAAAACCAGCTATTCCAAGGGAAAATTATTACCTAATTATGAATACGATTTAAGTTACTAAATAAATGTGACAGCAAGAAAATAAGAATTTATAATCATACATTGTTAAGGATTTTTATTAATGCTTCTAGTAAAAACTAAGTTTTACACTATCTTATAAAATGAGCCTCAAACACATGAGGCAACAGGCAATTTTTGAAATAGCTTCATATTCAATAAATGTTAAAAATAAAGCTAAAATCTTTGCAGTTAAAAAAAGAGATTTACACATAAAAAGTAAGGAGTAAAAACACATTTACTCATTCAAAGCTCATCAAAACAAAACATAAATATATATAAATACACTAATACATATGCTTTAAAATATGTATTTCGATATAGATGGTGACCTAGTTTTGTGTGTGGAAATGTAAGTGGAAAGTTTTCTGAAATGAGATCCACCAAATTTTAGCAACAGTTGTTTTTAAATGTGATTTTTTTGATTAATTGTACTCTTTTCTTAATATTTACATTTCATTTAATGAATAAATTACTACCATTTTTACAAGCATAATTAAGTTTCCATAATATAACCCTCATCAGTAGTATTAAATATATGAGAGACTGAAATTCTATAATTGTACAACAAATCTTTACAACGAAAACTAATAAGAATAAAAATAGAAAATTCAGAAAACAAGTAGTTCAGACAGAACAACACTTTTGACAAAGAAATCCTGAACCATTCTTTAGTTTTTCTCTACCCTTGAAACGACCTGCAAATGACTAGTTCCTTCACTGTCCAATTATTTTCCACGTGGGTAAAAGTAGTATTCAGATGCAAATACTACTCTGACATTTTTTACCACCAAGATAGAAGGGAAGTACGAAAAGTGCAATATGACACCATAACACAATAACCAACAGTTGCCCAGTATTTGCATCAACAACAATCTCACAATAAGTAAAGCATCATTTTATACTGCCCAGTGTATTCACTTTAAATAGCAAACTTTCTATTTTTATGTAACATTTTATATACTTATTATATAACATTAACATGTATAATTTCATTTGTAAGAGTGACAGTAGTGACAGGGTTTTTTTTTTCATTCTCTTCCCTTCTTTTTTAATCTTGAAATAACATTTTCCCTTTAGCTAATATTTTATTGCATACAGTTAAGGGAAACTTATACATTAAGATTAAAAATAATAACAGCTAACATTTACATTTTATGTGTTAAGCAAGCTTCTGTTTTTTTGTACTTTAACTCATTTAATACTGTCAACAACACTGTGAAGTAGCTATGATCATTAGCCCATCTTACGGATGAGGAAATGGAGTCTCATATGGGTTAAAAAGCTTGCCTATGGTCTCGTAACTATTAAGTAGCATAGTTATGACTTAAACCTAGTCAAAATAGAACCTTGGCCCATAATTTTACCACTAAACTTTCCCACAAATACTGACAGTACAGTATGAATCTCAGAAACAGTAAAACATATTTAATGGTAGAATCATACATATTAAATTATACTTTATAACTCATGGGTACAATTTCAAACCACATAGAAACCAGTCTAATCATGACTGCTAAAAACATTCAAATTACTAAAATGTAATGAAAAATGTTATTGCATGTTAGACAAATATCACTGGGGGGAAAGAAAACACAAACCTTGAAGTATAAAAAGCAACCCATAAAATTCTAATCCTTCTCTGAGAAAATGGCTTAAGACTTCAATTTTATAACCAGAAACACTAGTTTTAGCATCTTAGATTTCCACAAAAATTTAATTCTTCCATCCTATTAAGGTAATATTATAATTTTAGGGAAAGTACCGAGGAAATGTTTCTTTGAAGCTGAAAATCATTCATTTTTAATATCATACAAAACATGTAAAATGCTTATAAAATTACACATTGTTATTGAGATGCAAAAATCAAATCATTTTTAAAATACCAAAATATTTTACTGTTTATCAATTTACTGAGCTTCTCTGAGAAAAAAAATAATAGTTGAAGTATGATTCTTACTCTAGAGTTAAAATGCATAAAAGATAAATCTACCTGCCATCTTCATTACTTCGATAAAATACAAGAAAAGGATCTGATTTTCCAAAAAAGTCCTTCTTGTCCAATTTGTTTGCACAAAATTGCATCAGAACAGCATCCTACAAAGAAAATTAATAAAATAACTCAAAACCTTGGTTATAAATAACTAGAAACTGCAGATCCCGGGCAAGACTTGACAAGAAAACAAATTTACCATTTTAATGCAAATGGCCAAGTGTGCAAGAATCCTGAACAACATAAAATTACTTTTTAAAGGATTGTGAGACTAAAAAATTGACTCTGGAAGTTTTTGCTCTAGTCACAGAACTATTACTTTTTAAAAACCTCTAACATTTCTCCCTGGAAAAGTGATAATAAGTAGATAACTATAGGGATTCAATATTATATAGTACAAGATCTTTATTCCTATCTTTAGTTAATTCAAGTACACATTTTTAGAGCATAACTGTTTGTTAATTTCTCCGGAAATAATTACTAAGCATCTATTACATATCTATCACGTGTTAGATGTTAAGATATCTTTGGGGGCGCCTGGGTGGCTCAGTCATTGGGCGTTTGCCTTTGGCTCGGGTCATGATCCCGGGGTCCTGGGATCGAGCCCCGCATCGGGCTCCCTGCTCTGTGGGAGGCCTATTTCTCCCTCTCACACTCTCCCTGCTTGTATTCCCTCTCTCGCCGTCTCTCTCTCTCTCTGTCAAATGAATAAATAAAATCTTTAAAAAAAAAAAAAAGGTATCTTTGCTCATCAGATAAGGTACAAGACAGATCCAGACTGACCACACAGTTTGCAATCTAGGGGGAAAAAGGGTTCCTTTTTAATTATTCACAGGGCATCACAAAGTCTTAACAGTAATTCCTATTATATTGGGCTTCAAGGAAAGTAAAGCACTTTCATGCTTATCTGTAGTGTAATTATGTATTTGGATGTTAATTATTATGCCAAATCCATCATTTTTATTGATGTATATATTTAAGCACTCACAAGCTACAGAGTTTAGCTTATAAGTAAATAAGTTGGAGTATCATAAATTAAGGAAGTTAAACATTATGCAATTACATAGGATGAGCACCTTTAAAAAGTATGAAATATATAGTGATTTAACAATTAAAATCAGTATTTTGGATCTGTTTGTTTTTTTAACTGAAAGAAGATGCTAACAATTTTGGAAAGAGATGGGGGGTCAAAGTAATTCAGATTCAATCAAGAGGTTGCAGTTTTAAATGCTATTTGGTGAAACTGTTAAGAATGACTAAAAAGGCAGTCTCTTATTTACCACTATTTTTTACTTTGCAGAGTCCAGCAGTACTTAAACATCCAACTAAAATTTTCATTATTTCCCTTTAGCATTTCTGGAACACTATACAAGAGAACACTATCTTTTTCATGCATTCATTCATTCATTCATTCATTCATATACTTACTTAGCAAACATTTCTGAAGCAATACTCAGGCTAGAATCTGGGAATAGAGAGATGAAGACGACATCTCTGCCCTTGGAGAAGTTCACAGCTCTAGATTTCTGGTTTTCAATGCATTGGTATAGTGTCATTTTGCTTTTATATTTAGCACAGATGTAACTTCTACCAGAGGAACACTCATTATATAATGATTTCACTTTCTGAACAGGCATAGCGACCAACATACATTTTAAAGAAAATTAAAAGAAACACACAGGCAAGAAAAACATGGACACCACTATCACCTCAAACTTTTCAGCCATGATCACTTTTCAAATTTGAGGTTGAAAGACCAAAATTTCTATACTATTCTTTAAGGAAGCAGTGAGAAAATCACCCTAACAATCAAACTATAAAATCAGAGCAAAACTGAGAGAGAAGGACTGGTTTTGATTTCTTTGTTCTGGTTGGTTTGAATGCCCTTTCACCTTCACATATATTAAAATGGCCTTGAGAGAGAATGGTTTTCTAAGAACACAGGACAAGGACATTGTACTTGCTACAGAAAAAAAAAAAGGAAAAAGAAAAAACCCACTCCTGTAAGACATTTTCCCAAAGCACCTGGACCAAAACACAAACTACCAAAAAACATTCTGATATATTCAAAGTAAATAATAGATTATTGAAATGTACATATTTCAAATTGATTCTGAATAATCTTCACAGAAATTAAGTATTATTAAAACAAATTTCCATCACTGTTAAACTTAAAACCAAGTTGTAATTTTTCAAATTACATTCCTTAAGACTTGCAAAACAAGTAATAGATTAAAAATAAAAAATAAAGATTGCTTTCAATATACTAAATTTATAAACCTAGGGGAAATATTTTTTGCAATTATCCAAGTTAGTACCTTAGCAGGGATTCCATCTATATCTAGCACAAATGAAATCTAATTTCTACGGGGGAAAGACAAGCACTTACTTACTTATAGAAATACAGAAGCATCATTGCAAAGTTGTTTTTTTTTAATCTCTTGTGCTTAATGCCACCTGAGAGAATTTTAAGATTTTTCTTCAATACTCCACACCAGTATAACAAACTTGCTATGGTAGAAATCCATTCAAATGCTTCACAGGCACTTCTAACTAATTCAAATCCAACTTGCTTCTCTTGCAATTTTCCCAGCTCAATTAGTAATTCGTCATCCACCCAAAGTGCTCAAGGAAGCAGTCCTTGACTCCTTTCTTTTCTTGACCCTTCATCTAAACCAAGTTGCATCATTCCACCTCTTGAGACATTTCTCAACTCTTCACTCTGCCTACACTGGCATCACCTTAGTCTAGGCCAACCTCCTCTCTCCCTGGGGCATGCACAGTAGCATTTTTCTTTCTCCGCCTTCTACTCTGGCAACCATCCAGCCCATTTTCCACTCTGCAGACACTGTAATATTCTCAAAACATAAAAGAAATATTGTTCATAATTTAAAATGCTTCTAGGCTTCCTCTTGTATTTAGGATAAACCCAGAATCCTTAACATGGTCTACAAAGCTCAGCACCAAATGAGCTCTGAGGAGCCTTTTCCACCTTCATCCTTCTAAGTTTTGTCTCAGTCATCCCCTGGTCCTAGCCCTTTGCTACCATACACCAGACACAATTCCTTCCCTCCTCACAACCTTATGCAAGCTGTGCATTCCACTAGAATTCTTTCATTTAACTGGCAAACCATTACTTAGGGCTAAGCTTAAATGTTACTTTCTCAAAGAGGTCTGCAGTGACCCCTCCCTGGTATAAATTGGATTCTCCATTATATTCTCTTATATTTGATCACTTAGTACATATCATGACATATTCACCTGCACAGTCATCTAATTAATGTCTGTCTTTCCCACAAACTACTTGTTCATTAAAGACAAGGACCAGTGTTGTTTGTTGTTGTTGTTTTCTCACCCTTGTATTCCAAGCATCCGTTTCAGGGACTAGCACTTTGTACGTTTTGTGAATATTGTGGAATCAATCAATCAATCAATCAATTAATCAGAATGAAAAATATTATTTGTGGATAATCTCAAGCTACTTTTAAAATACTGAGTGAATAAACAATCCCAATATAATTCCAAAATTACATTAATTTTTATGCTTGCACATTTGACTAGATATATTACAAAAGTGGCATTTGAAATAAACTATGTAATACTAGGTTGAGATAATTAAAATCATCACCTTAAAAATAAATATTTGTATAAATTTATAATTTACACATCTCTCCAATGCTGCCTCTTTTTTTATTCTGCAAAGCAATGATCTGGGGAAGATATTAAGACTTCTAGCATTTTACAAATGCAGAAATTAAAGCTCCAAGACTATAACCTCACTCAGCTGAATACTGAAAGAGATAAGATTGAAATTAGGTGTCCTGATCCCAAAACTTATGCTCAAGTTAATAACAATGTGTTTTAAAGGGGAAAAAACAACAACAACATCAATTTGTATGATGTCAAATGTGAAGTTACTTCCTTCAAGATTCTAAGTGATAATGCCTGATATTTTCAAGCTACTTAAATGTGCATTTAAAGACCCTGTCTCTTCTGAAGTAACTATGAGCATTGCTTTGAATATATTTGTTTCTTCTACTATACTAGCATAGTAATATTATTTCAAGGCTTATACATCTTAATGATGCTGATTACCAATAAGGCTGTAGCTAAGAATCAGAACATACTATACACAAGTGAAGTTAGATCAAGATTTAAGCAATATTTTTAAAATATTAGATCTATAATTGTAAAGTATAATAAATATTTTTTTATTAAAAGTTAATTCCAGATATTCTAAAATCTTTAGTAGTAGAAAGAGTGGTAAAAAAATGCCTCTTAATTAGTAAGCAACAGGGGTGCCTGGGTGGCTCAGTCGTTAAGCGTCTGCCTTCGGCTCAGGTCATGATCCCAGGGTCCTGGGATCGAGCCCCGCATCAGGCTCCCTGCTCAGTGGGAAGCCTGCTTCTCCCTCTCCCACTCCCCCTGCTTGTGTTCCCTCTCTCTCACTGTGTCTCTCTCTGTCAAATAAATAAATAAAAAATCTTAAAAAAAAAAAAATTAGTAAGTAACAGATTCTACTTCATTTGCATGGAAACATTCCTGTTCTTGCCTGTTCTTCCAAGCAAAACAACAAAATTGAAAGTGGAAGATATTTAAGATGCAACCTGGCCATACTCAATCTATGCCCTTGGTTACCTTGGTTCTATTTTGCAATAGAACTAAAAATAATGTGTTCATTGGCATATTTACACAAAATCACTTGAATGTCAAGATTCTGACAAAATAGCATGTTAATGTCAACACAAAGAACATGTATCTTACTGACCTTGAACTTCTTTTTCTCTTCCCTCCCTCACTATATAAAACACATGTTATATACACATATATAAATTTAGAGACAAGAAGTATAAAAGATGATTAGATGATATAATTCTAAGAAATCATTGTGCCATTTTAACAAAAAAAAGATGGTAAGTAATATTTCTGTACTGTCTTGTACTTTTTGTAATGTATTCTTAGTATACATAAAATGGTTTCATATACGTTATATTTTCAGATTTAATGTTATGGTGGTTAATTATAGAGCTGGGGCAATTTTTAAAAATATTCTAGTGACTGGTTCACGTGTCCGATTTTTTTTCTCCCCCCCTCCGCAAATATGGAAAGTAAAACAGAAGAATCAAGTAATTTGATAAGACAAAGTACAAATTCATAGCAAATCCAGAATTCAACTCCGTTTAATGGCATTCTAACTGTGAGTAGGTTTCTGGGCATTTTACACAGGAAAAAACTGAGACTGAGGTGGCCAGACCTGCCCACAGGTGCATAGACAATGGAGGAAGTAGAAGAGGGCCTCAATTTAAATGCATTTTAACTACTTAGAGTCTAAGTTTTGTTTAATCATCTCCACAACACTGTTACTATACTTTCCTTTTGTTATCTCACCAACCACCCCCTACCCCACCGAAATCCCAGTTTCCCTCATTTGCTGGCAAGTATCATATGGATTTCTGCCCATATTGCCTCAGAAATATATTATGTACCAAAAGCCATAGTATTATCCTTAAAAAAAAACCTCTAGAGATAATAAATAATAGTTCTCCATATGGAAACTATAGCCAATGTTAAAGCATTAAGTTTTTAGCATTCTTCAGGAACTTCTGTTCCTAAAATCATAAAGCAGAAGTTGAAAATAAAGAGCTCTAGAGATTTAACCCAGGGAAAACTTCTTTTTCCCCCCTTGAAATAACTATTCCCAGGGATCCACTGGGCCGCATTAAATAGACAATATCAACTTCAGATTCAGAGAGCGATCATTACTTCCGGTGTGGAGGGTCATAGCCATCACCTCAGTTCTTGATGACAGTAAACTCACTGAACATGAGTCAATGGTTATATCAGCAAATCACAACTAAAAATGGCAGTTTTCTAAAAATACTGAGTATGCACTCTATATGTCATCATATTCCCAGCTGGAGTGGTAGCAGGTCCTTTCCTCAAACATGAGCTTCCAAAACTAACAAAAGATGGGAACTTACATAAATCCCGAGTTAATTCCATTAGTATTATGGAAAAAACAAGTATGTTAGGTAAAAGGACTAAAGTCAAGTGACTAGAAATACTCCTAGAAAATCACACATAAATCTTCAAAATTTTTGCAAGAACTTAGCTGATCGGTACAACTGATAATTCCTAATATTAATGCCCCCCAAATAATACTGACATTAGGTTTTATTTTAATAATTTCTATTCCTTAAAAAGACTGTTAAAATAACTGATATCCTTTTTGGACTATAAATGTAGTCTCTCTATCTAAAATGACTATGTATCTAAAATGATGTTTTACAGATGAGAGAATTATATAAAGTAATCTTCATTATTTTTTTGCCAAAATTACTGAAAATTAATCATTTAAGTATAGTTTCAGAAATATCTTTTCAAAGAAGTATTGGAATTACTTTTTAAACCAAAGAAATATTTACTTACCCTACAACAGTTTAATTCCTCTGCTGTAAGTATGATCGTACCACATTTCCTCCCTGGAATTCCTCTACAACCAAAAATATATTTATATACATTAATAGTTTATATGAATATTTATAATATAAACTAATATTATATATTTCATTTTTATGGAACCAAATAAAGAGCATGCTACTAATTGGTGGGCTCTTTCCTAATAAAATATATTCCTAGTTTCCACCTTGAGTTTATCCTATGGATCCACATTTGCTAATGAAGCTAAACTTTGATCACTTTCAACCTGTCAGACCTCTGCCCAAGAACTGTCAAGAGCTTCATATCATCTACCATATGTAATATATACAATATTATATGATATCTATAATATAATAAAATTTTTTCCATGGGTTCTAAGATTTCTATTATGTGATTAAAACCTATTCCTAATCTTGGTTTTCAATACTTCTTTCTCCTTTCATCAACATGGTTACTTATTTGTGCTTATTTCTTCTTTGTGGCCATTCCCATGCCCTGATATACCTCAGCACACTAACTGTCCCCTATTTCACCTCAAACCTTCCATATCCCCAGATAAAGTTCCATTTGTTCCAGGAAACTTCATCCTGGTCAACCTCATACAAAGTTCAGCCTTCTCTGCATTCCTATGGCACTTTAGGTCAGTACTACAAGCTTAGCATTTAATTACCCTTAACTTGTTACAATCATGTATTTTCTCCCTTTCTTTTTTCAAGTTGATTATAACCTCTATGAGAGTAAAATTTATGACAGAGACCTCTTGTGAGCCAACACAGTTAAATGTCTACATATAGCAGGTGCTCCAAATATAATGAAAATATGTAATACATAAGCAAAACAAAAATTAAACAAAGTAAAACTTCCACACACTTTTCTTCTTACATGTCTGGTATATTTATGCTCATATAGATTCCAACTGACACTAAGAGCAAAGTCCACCAGGAAAATGCAAGGCGCATTTATGGTTCCTGGCTTTACATGAGGGAATACAGAGACAAGCCCATGAGAATCCTCCAGAGAATAATCCTCATGCTCCCATGGTGTTTTGTCTTTCGTCCCATTATGAGTCATAGTTCACAAACTCTTCAGTTCATCCTGGGAACTACAAGTTGTGAAATTAGAGCCCAACAAGTGTGTTTGTCCTCAAGAACAGAACTCATCTCTGACAATCTATGTCAGCATGTATGCATCAGATACATAATCCCCTGTGCTCCCTGGATAAAGGGACTGGACTCTTTAGTTATCTTAACTGGAAAGAAGGTAAAAGAATGGAACATTAAAATATCTGAGCTACAAATGTCTCTATAAAATTATTGTAAAACTCCTCTTTCTTTTCTTTCTTTCTATTCTAATATTTTCTTCTGGAGGGCACCACTTGGTTTTCAGCTAAAAATGTCATCTCACAGCTTATGAAGGAAACTGCCTATCACAAAATTTTGTTTTCTCTATATCTTTGCTCCCCATTAGGGTAACTGTACATGTCAGGACCTTCCATTTTCTCCTGGTCTTTATGACTAAGAGATCAAGTAATTTATCTTTGCACATTTTTCCTTGGAATATTATACACATCATTTTTAGCATCCTTCCAGCAATCTTAATCAGTTCATTTTTCTAATCTAGCTGTACCTTTTGTTTTCTTCTATCTATGAATCTCAAGATTTACATTTTCAATGTTATGACAAAGAGCCTCACTGAACATGTACCTGAAAGTACTTTAAAACGCTGAATAAAATTTGCCAAGAAAGTCTTTACAAATGCTCTGATAACTGGGCAAGAAAGTAAGGAGCCATCTGAAGCTGAAGATGGAAAACCAGAAAGACAAGCAGGGGTGACCCTGTAGAATTTGATCTTGGGCTTGTTTTTTATGGCCCCTCAGGACATAAAAATGAGAAACAAAAAAAAAGTGGGGGGGGGGGAGGGAGAGACTCAGAAGGTGGAGAATTCAGTAAGTGACTAATACACAACATAAAGCTTGGATCACAATGACTATGTTGCCTGATTATAGCATGAATTAGATACAAATATTCACTTTGGAGGGACCTACAAAGTAAATCCCTGCCTTAAAAATTGATGATGAATAAGAGAAAAAAAAAAGTCTCTTAATCATTCAGACCTCAACCAGTATTGTTGCCTTAATTTTCACTACCTGAGTAGTTATAAATAACTTCAAACCAAGAATTCAGTTTAATTGCAGTGATCGTAGGTATCTGGTAAATGTAAAACCTTTCTGAAGAATTTGCCTTCAAACTACATCTCAAAAGATTCTTACATTAAAAGCTTAAAAAATGCATATGTGTTCATTTCAAAGTATCACAAAACACTGAAGGAAAAGTGTACCATGTATTAGAATCTCCAGAAACAACAGTCTATAGAATCAAACACATACTTAGAATACTAGAAATATTATGCATAATATACAAAATGTAAGCATGAGTAACATACCTAAAACTTAAAGAGAAGAATGGAAATATGACTAACTAGCTAAGGATTATAAAAATAATCAAGAATATTTGGAGAAAAAATTTGGAAATTCTGGATATAATAACAGAAATAGAAAACTCAGTGAATGGATTTAGCCACAGATTAGACACAGCAGAAAAATTAGTAAGAAAGACAGCTGTAAAGAAATGATCCACAATGCAGCACAGAGAGGCAGACATGGAAACTATTATAAAGAGGTTTACAGACATGGAGAACAAAGGTAAAAGTTTAATACACATCTAATCAGAAGTCCAGGAAGGAGAAGAAATATTGCAAGAAGGAGATAGAATATTTGAAGAGAAAATGGCTAGGAAACTAGAACTGATTAAAAAAATCAATTTCCAGACTCAAAATGTCCAGTGAATCCCAAGCAGCATAAATAAAAGTAAATTTATACCTACACAAATGAAATGGACAAGGCAAAACACCAGAGATGAAGGACATATGTTAAAATGAGCCAGAGAGAAAAGGCAGATGGCCTACAGGAATACAAATATTAAACTGGGGCTGACTACTCAGAAGGTATATGAAGCTGAAAGACAAGTGAAAATATCTTCAGTGGTTTAAAAGAACGCAACTGCCACCCTGGGAATGTAGACAGTGTGCATCTCTTATAAGAGAAAGCATGAACCACAAATATTGTTAAACAAGTAAGAACTGAGTGAGTGTATAGCCAACCACCCTTGCTTGAGGCATTTCTGAAGGACTTGAAACTGAAGGAGAATGATCACAGATGGGAAGTATGTGACAAAAGAAAAAACAAGAAAGGAAGTGGTAAAATATAAAGAAATCTTAATAAATATTGACTATAAAACAAGATACAAATGTTAAAAACTAAGGGCGCCTGGGTGGCTCAGTTGGTTAAGCGACTGCCTTTGGCTCAGGTCATAATCCTGGAGTACCTGGATCAAGTCCCACATCAGGCTCCCTGCTTAGCAGGGAGCCTGCTTCTCCCTCTGACCCTCCCCCCTCTCATGTGCTCTCTCTCTCTCATTCTCTCTCTTTCAAATAAATAAATAAAATCTTTAAAAAAAAAAACTAAATAACAAATACGTATGATAGGATTCATCAGGAGGGTGAGAATTTAAGTTAAATCTTCTGATGTTCTTTGATTGTTCAGGAAAAAAGTAAAAGATGTCTTAAAGTGAATAGAATTTGATAAACTAAGTAAGTATGTGTAAAAACTTCCACAACACTACAATTTTTAAAGGACTTTATAACCTGAAGTTTAGAAAAGGAGAATTCTGGAATAGTGTTTAAAAATATAACTGAAGATGCATCTCAAGAGAATTATTAAAGATGAGTAATCCTTGGGGGGAGGAGCAAGATGGCAGAGGAGTAGGAGACCTAAATTTCATCTGGTCCCAGGAATTCAGCTAGATAGGTATCAAACCATTCTGAACACCTACAAACTCAATAGGAGATCAAAGAAAAAAATAGCAGCAACTCCATGAACAGAAAAGCAACCACTTTCTGGAAGGTAGGACGCACGGAGAAGTGAATCCTAGGCGATATTTGGGAAGATAGACCATGGGGGTGGGGAAGGAGCCTCCGTCAGTTGCTACTGGCAGGTGAGAGAGCAGCAGAGCACAAAATCGGAACTTTTAGAAGTCTGCTCTGCTGAGGAACCTCACTCCAGTGGCTAAGTGGGGGGATGAAACCCTCCCTGGGACATTTATGGTCTCAGGACCCTCAGGGACACAGAAAGACCAGGGGTGCCTGAGTGCAGCAGAGCTCCCAGGTATCGGAGCAGGGAAGCCAGCTGCAGAGACGGAGCTGAGGCGCAGGCTCTCAGCTCAGGATTGCCATAAACCATAATCCACAGCACAGTCGGGCCACTGCTCTTCCAGCAGAGACCCAACAAGTGGCAGATCCGGAGAGACTCCCCTTCCACCCCAGGGAGGAGTGGCGCGAGAGCACACCATAGGAATCTGCTGGGTTTGGAGGTTCCAAACAGGGTCGGGTGCCAGAGATAGAAATGCTCAGTCACAGGCTGGGTGAGCTCAGAGTGTGGCCAGAGACCAGGGAGATGGGAGTGATTGACTGCTTTTCTCTGGGGGCTCACTGAGGAGTGGGGCTCCGAGTTCTCACCTCCTCCAGGGTGAGAGATTGGGAGGCCGCCATTTTCACTCTCGTCCTCCAAAACTATACGGAAAGCTTGCAGGGATCAAAAGCTCCCAAAAGCAAACCCCAGCAGATTACTTAGCCTGGCAGCCCCGGGCAACAGTGGTGCAATTCCGCCTCGGGCAAAGACATTTGAGAAAAACTGCAACAGGCCCCTCCCCCAGAAAAATCAGCAAGCACATCCACCAACACCAAGTTTGCTGATCAATGAGAATGGCAAAACCCCAGAGCTAGGGGAATACAGGACATAGAATTCAGGGCTTATTTCCCATGATTCTTTAGTCTTTCCAAGTTAATTTTTTAAATTTTCTTTTTTTCTTTTTCTATGTCGTTTTTTAAATTTTTTTCCTTTCCTTTTTCAACCAACATCTTATCAATTCCTTTTTAAAAATCTTTTTTAATTTTCATTTTTAGAGTCATATTCTATCCCTTTATTGTATTTAACCT